AGGAGCATCGAGCGAGATCCCTTTCACAAGGACCCTTGAAGGAGGAGGAGGGGGACCCTTGAAGCCCTGAATAGGACGGTCGCGGTTGCAGAAGACTGCAGAAGAAAGGGCCTGGTATGCGTTTTGGTCGCCCTAAAGAACGCTTTTAATACCTTGAGGGTGGAGTGCATCCTGAAGGAAGCGCGAAGGAGACGGTTGCCGGGACGACTTCAGGAGCTGATCGGGGACTACCTGGCTGGTAGGAAAATTATAGCGCACTGCCGGGACGGAGTCGTAAGGAGGAATGTCGGTGCGGGGGTTCCGCAGGAATCGGTCTTAGGACCGCTACTGTAGAACCTCGTGTATGACGGAATACTGGAGACGCTTGACCGGGAGAAGGACATTGAAGCTGTGGCGTTCGCCGGTGGCACTCCTTAAGGCCAGGGAGTCCCTTGGCATCGAGGGCAGAATACGGGCGGTTATCAGCACGGCCACCAGATGGTGCAGCGACGTGGGACTGCATCTGGCAAGAGAGAAGACGGAGGTTATCCTCTTAACCAGGAAGAGGATACCTACAAGTTTTAACTTTGACGTGGGGGCCGAGGGGGGGGGGAGATCTCCACTAGCAAGACTGTGAAGTATTTGGGAGTTTTGTTGGATAATGCTGGGGGGTTCTCCCCCACCTCGAATCGGCGTGCGACAAGGCGAAACGGTTCTTGGGTGCCATACGGGGCCTGCTTCCCAATGTGAATGGTCCTAAGGACACGGTTCGAAGACTCTATTACGGTGTGTGGAAGTCTGCGGTCCTGTATGATGCACCTATATGAGCCTCATCCCTTATTAAGGTGATCAATAGGAAGATCATTAAAAGGGCACAAAGGGCGGCGATGATCCGTCCGTCTACTGCCCATCGTACAGTGTCACATGGAGTCTTGTGTGTGGTGACGGGTAATATGCCCACATACATAAAGGCGTGGTTACGATGGAAGCAGTACGGCGTGAAGAGGCGGATTGTTGAAAACCCAGATGAAATGGCGAACGCATCGTACGAAGAGATGAAGAAGCTGAAGACTGAAGCCGAGGACAGATGAACGTTCCACAATTCCTACAACTGGACTAAGAGACTGATTGAGGATCCGTTAATTTTTTACAGAACGAAGAGGGGCGTCAACTACCATGTCATGCAGTTCCTTACTGGAACTCTGATTGGTACCGTCACGGGATTGGGAAAGAGACGCACATCAGTTGTTGGGATTGTGGAGCCACCATGGACGATGCCGAACATGTGCTTTTCTGGTGTCCCAGATCAAGCTCAATGTAAATAGGATCGATGGTTAGTACTTGATGTTTTATATAGAATGTTAAGATTTTAATAATAGAAAGTGGGATCGTTGGTTCCTATATATAGTATTTGATGATAAGTATGGATAAAATAGTAAGATATTGGGAATCAAATATGTGGTTTAGTGATTCATTTAGAAGAGTGAAATTAATAATATAAGAGATAAAATTGTTTAGGCTTATTAGATTTATTAACAACAGTAAGAGTGGATTGTAAGATTAGTAATTAGGTTACATATTACGAAGCTATTTACTTATTACTATTTACTATTTATTTATTATTTACTATTTACTTATTTACTATATTGGATGAATAATTGTATACACTAACAGTTATTCCGAACGGACAATCCAAACGGACATTAACACTTCCTTAACGCACGAAACGTAACGATAAATAAACTCCGGGCAAAATAATGTCGCCGTATGTGCAACCGTCGATCAAAAGCGAATTCGAATTTTCCGACTCTCGCCCGACCAGTATAAATAAGAGGAAGCACTCGCGAGCGAGTCAGTCATTATTCGAGTTTCACGAGTTATTAACGGTGATTAACGGAGTTATACGAGTTATCGAGTCATCTGCGAGCAATCATACACTGTCTTTGCGAATACGTTTGTACGAGCGTCTCTCTACAGTATTTATATTTATATTTATCAATATATATAATTTATTCCAAATATATTTGACGAGTTGCGACAGCAATCTCTCGACAATCAATTACAATCCTCTACTCCATTCACCGCATTAGATATATCGAAATTGACGGTATTCGCTATCAAGACCAAAGTTTTCTTCAAAATAACTGTATCCTTATTAACGGGCTTGGCATGGGATATAGTGCGAGTATACCTCATACCCACCAAAAGAGGCCAAGCATTTCTGGCACCAGTATTTGAACATCCAACATTTTTTACACAACAATATACATACATGAACGTTGATAATGAATACCTCGATAATAATTCTAATATAAAAATAGAAATTACAATGTGTAAACAAACTCAAGCGACACATGACAAGAAATCTATCCACGACTGTGCGTGAGAAATAATAAATTTTAACAAAAGAATAAACATTTGTAGATTTGCCGTTTATAAAATCGAAGATATAACTTTCATTCCATTAACAGCTGAAAACCAATATATAGCTATACCAAAAGAAGAAATTGAAATACATGTACTTTTTATACATGTTCTTTTATACATGAAATTGAAATACATGTACTCAGAAACAAATTAAAATAGGAAGACCTTCCATAATTCGGTCACCTGATGAATAGTGTAATATGCATAATATTCAACGATAGTATAATGAAGATAGGGCAATGCAAAGTCAATATAACATTTGAATATAAGCTCAAGACGATTCCTTTTGAAAATGATACGAGAATAGTTTATTTGTTAGACAAAATTGAAAGAACACCTAGAATTCCTAGTAACATACCAGAATATCAGAATAACTTAGACCAAATATCCGAACAAATCAATCAACTAACGAATACAGTCTCTTAAATCATGGGGACTCTCATTTTTACAAATAGTCGGTTATGTTGCAGGTATCTATTAAAATCTTTACCCATAAAACTATGTATTCATTTATTATGTTGTAAAACTAGGAATAACATCCAAAATATTGCGACAAATCCAACACCTCTAAACATATATACAGAAATATCGCAAACACTTTAGCCATCCGCCACTTGGACGAAGAAGATGAAACAGAACACTTGGAACAAATTCAGATGAGCACCTACCAAAGTGCGATTCCACAAATCCATAATGAAGAAACGTTAAGATTTTGGAGAACCTGAAACACACCAATAATTAATAAATGATTAATAGCCACAAATTAGAACATTAATAACGAACAACGATAAATAATAACAAAACACTAACATTTAAACAATATTAAAACACACAATGTTCATTAAAAGAACATGTTGTAAAACGTGCGGTAGTTTAATGACGAGGTTACTCAATATTGAAAGCGTCAAATATATTTTAAAGTAATTATAAATACAGAGAAAACCGTAGATTGCTCTACTGGTCGTTAAAAGAATGTTCGCTAAGACGCTCGGTACTAATTCGCTAAGACTGTGTGTAACTCCCTAAAGAGATCGCACGCGACTGAGACTGATGAAAACTGGTCACCTTAGGATCGCGTTCGTTTATTTATGCTGGTCGAGGGGGTACCGGTAAATTTCCATTCTATGCTGGTCGACGGGGTACCGGTAAATTTCCATTCGCCTTTGTTAGACGGTTCCACGAAGCGGCGACATTGTTTTTGTCCGAAGTTTACATATTCTTACAGTATGTCCTAACGTTGTTGATACTCCGAGGTAAGACCACACGTGGTTCGATTTCTCCTTCAGCTCGTGTGTCGCTACAATATTATATAAATTTGTAAGTATGGGATGCGGAATAAATTAAACGAGTCTGAAAAAAGCAAATTCTTGAACTAAAACAGCAACAATTATTAGTAGCAAAAATATCGAAAGTAATAAGAAGAAGTCGTAAAGTAATACACAATTTCTTTAAAAATGTTGAAGATTATGACAAAAAGAAAAGCACTGGTCGGTCGTCATCGTTATCCGATCGTGATAAGCGAGCAATTTTGCGTGTAGCAAGTTGGAACTCGCAGTTAACAACGAAGGAAATAATGGAAAAATCTAGTATTAGTGCCAATGTTTCAAGTGTTCGTCGAATTCTACTATACTGCAAAGATGTTAAGAGGCTAAAATTGAAAAAGAAACCTTCGTTAACAACGAAGCACAAAATAGGACGTTGACGCGTTGCAAAAGAAAGAATGCATTGGAAAAGAAATGAAGAAGGGTACTATTTTCAGGCGAAAAATATTCAACTTGGATAATCCTGATGGGTTCCAATATTATTTTCATGACATAAGAAAAGAGACAATGTCGGCAATTCGAAGACAAATGGGAGGAGACAGCGTGATGGTTTGGGCCGGCATCGGTTATTTTGGCAAGACATGTATCAAGTTCGTCGATGGGAGAATGAATAGTATCCGGTACATAAATTTAATCAACGAACAAATAAATAATCATGCAGAACGCGTTTCTGGACCTGATTACACCTTTCAACAATATAATGCACCTGTACACACATCAGGGTTGGTCCAATCGTACTTTAATGCAAATATATATGTTTTGCCGTGGCTAGCACGCTCCCCGGACCTTAATATTATTAAAAATTGTTGGGCAAAACTTGCTCCAGTCGTGCCTGGATGTCTCCGTCAGAATTGTGTACGTAGATAAACACAGGCTCCCTACGCCCTTTCGCAACTGAATCGAATCTTTTGCAAGCACAACTCGGTATGATTGGAATGAATTATCTTGATCTACCCGACGCATAATGAGGCTAAAGTTGGTCCCGAGCTCATTGGGCTTGGCCCGTGGAATGCTGGATCGGCTAATCGTAGATCCCTGGGTATTTGTATGGTCGAACGGTCGATTGTTTGATCTCGGACCAATGGTGACATGGTCGGTATTATTAAAAATTAAAAAAATTATTTAAAAAAACGTTTATATATGCCCTCCATGGAAGTAGGGGTGGCTGTGATGTGGCGCCTCGCGGTAGTGATTAAGTTATCGAGAGCGCCGATTGGGACCGCACATCTCCTTCGTCTTATGCCGAGGGAGTTTGCGAACTTTTCGTTCATGAAGTTCATACTAGACCCAGTATCTAGGAAAGCTCTGGCTCGGATTGGTTGTGCTCTATTATTTAAAATATTGATCTGTGCTGTGACCAACAGATCATGATGCAGCGTGACGTTTGGAGAGGTATTTAACAACTCGGTCCTTTTTTTTGTCTTCGGTTTAGCTAGTCAATTTTTCCCCAATTGGGGTTTGGACGAGGAGTTTTGATCGGTGCATTTGGTCCGAGATGACTGAGATTCATATTGAGGAGGAGTTTTCCGACTCCTTGTAGGTGACGGAGCAGATTTCCGCGAAGGTTCTCTGGTACGTTTCGAACGATGTGAAGAATGCGGTGTCGGCGATCCAAGTGATGATCCTCTCTGAGAGGATCGGTCGTTCGACGACTATCGCGCGACGATCGACCGTTTAACGACTGACCGCTCGACGACTGACCGTTCGACGACTGACCGCTTAGCGACTGATCGCTCGATGATCATACGCTTGATACACGAGAACTGACATTGGTATGTTCCCGATGTAAATATGTGTGGTGTCGGTGTACACATATGTGACACGATGCAACTGAACATTGGGTAAGAGAGTGTGCTCTGCCTATGCAATTTGTGCAGAGTGATGCCCTTTTTACAAGTTCAAAGCGTTTGATTACCGATTTGGCTTTGAAGGCCTTGCAATGCTTGATTTCGTGGGGTCCTTGGCATGTCGGACACACCAACGTCCTGTTTGTTGTGGTGAATGTTTGCCCTCGCCGTAAGTGTTGTCGGTGATGGAGAGATTGATAGGATGGCCTTTTGGTTTTATTCGATTTCGATCGGAGGTCATCATCGTTAACCCGGGTTTGAATAGAATCCATCAAATGTGTGTATGATGGTATTCTTTTATTAGGCAACGTGCGCTGCCATGGACAAAGGCAGTTTCGATGAAAGCAACTCGATGAGTGTTATGTTTGAGGTGATAGATTGACCTAATTTCTCTAGCGCTTTAAGACTCACCTTGACTGTTTCAAGCAAGTCTTCTACGGCTTCTGGTGTTTGCTCCGTTATTTTAGAATAGTTTCGTAGCAATTCCCAATGCCGCATATAGATTCATGCAATCTAGTTAAGCTGTTAAGTTAACATGTCATGCGACATGTTAAGAGCGATCGAGTAATTGGAATCTGTGACTTCCAACGACGGAATGCTTCGTGAGGACCTTCCAGTTACGGATGCTCGAAGACATTGAAACTTTTGGACCGATGTTAGATTTACATTGCGATCAACTGTAGACACGAATGTGTCGTAAAAATATTCCCATTCTTCTATGGAGCCCTGTTAGGTAGATGATACATTTACACTGTACATGGAATGTGTGTGGAAATTCACACGTTCGTGGGGAGACGCGATCTCGAGGAAGCGCGCCAACGGGAGTCGTAAATTCCCGTTACGATTGACTAATCGACGCCACGAATCGTTCGATCCCTTATTTCTTGTGGGATAATAAGGATAGTTAAATTGACGATAACACTGATATTAACAGGTTATTATATATTTGCACAATTCAGCAACTTCGGTGTAATACAAAATGAATGGTTGATACAAGCTGACTACGAATGAATACGACCTGAGACTCTGTTCGTGTTGTCGCGTATGATAATGTATGGTGTCGACTGACTGTATTCGACTTGTTGACTGAATTGAGTTGATCCTTAGTGAAGACTGACTTGAGCTGACGTTTGATCGAGACTGACTTTGTTCTTATGTTTTTCCGAAGGAAAGCTTGATGTGGGTGTGCCCTTTGAACGAAGAACGCGGATTCGTTATTCACACCTTTCGTCAATGAAGTGAGGGTAAACGTCCGCGTTGCCGATTGGTTATGACCCATGCTAATGAAGAAGGATATGAGGAAGTCTCCCACCAACGCTGGGGATAACCAGTCGTTTTTGGTGGACATGTGTTGGGTTTTCTCATTCGGTGACTACCTGTTTTCTCCGTGATTTTTAAGGGCCTAATAAAATCAAGGACTTTTCCTAAATCCGGACATAAACCGAAACTACTTCTAGACAAATAGGTTGATTGGCAAACATGTGGAAACAATTAAGCTAGAAGTTGACGTTTTATGGAGGGTCCTTGAGTTTATTGAGGGTCGGGAAGAATGTAGGTGGGCCGCTGGCTGCCAGGTAGCGTCGGCTGCGGTGCAGATGTTCCATGCGACGTAACAGTGTGTGTAAGCGTCACAGGACGTTCAGGTCTTAGTTATCGAGGTCTTCAAAGTGTAATATATATGTATCGATGTTGTGTGCGAATAAAGCAATTAATTTATTATACCTTAACAAGCCGTTAAGCTTAGTCAAGGGCATCTCCGGTAACATAATCGATATCGGTTCGGACTCATTGCCGGAAATTGCCGGAATCGCGTTTTTTGGGAATCGCGTTTTTTGAGTATCGACTGCGTTGATGGTTGTAGTTAGTCAAGGAGTTCTAGTATTCGTGTGTCAACGTTTTTATATTCTTGCTTTAAAGATACTACACGCCCAGCTTCTTCCTGGTCCAACGCTTCCAATTCGCCTTGGACCGCGATTATTTTCATCCAATGATCTTCGAACGATTTGCGGCAAGATATTAGGTAGCTCTTACCCGTCTAGACTCTTCATATTCGTCGAGTTGATGCTTCGTGATTGTCAATCGGCTGATTAAGGCGCTTCGTCTCCGCCGCAATGTACTGATCTTTCAGCGTGGGCCATGTTTTAGTTTAATAGATTGAACGAGCTTATCTTGAAGAACTGGACGTTGGTCGGGGAATCGTTTGCCATTCGTTATTGTGCGGCATGGGGTCGCGCATATGCTTAGCGAGGGAGGAGTTCCTTTCCGATGGCTACCCGTATGGTTAGGTGATTAAGTCGATAAAATGTTGATTTCACGTGACACTCTATGGTCACTGGTAAGTGCACTTTTCAATGGCACGTGATCCAGCTCGAAGGACCATGTATTTTCGATCTATCGCAAGGAGACGCGATCGCGAGGAAGCGCGTCAATGGGAGTCGTAAATTCTCGTTACGATTATAAGAATCGACACCACGAACAGATCGATCCTCTTATTCCTTGTAGGATAATAGGGGTAATTGATGTGGTACAATACTGCGATTGACAGGGTTATAAAATTCATATTTCCAATAACTTAATACACTAAATAGTTACATCGTTATTTATGATATAAATATCGTAGACGATACTTTGACGTATGAAACTCCGATAGATGAACACAATGTTTCTTCATAGTAGAGCAAGGCTCTTGCAGTTAAATATAAGAGGAAGGTGACTTTCTTGGTGTAGCAGAAGTAGCAATTGAATAGACTGATGATCCGCTCTCATGCAATTACGGAGGAAAGCTCGGTGTGGGTGTGGTTTTTTGAACGAAGAAAGCGTAGTCGTTGCTCACACTTTTCGTTAGTAAGGTGAGGGCGAGGATCTGCGATGTCCATTGGTTCTAGTCAATGTTAATGAGTGATGAGAGGAGAAGGAAACCTCCTACCAATGTTGCTAGTTGGTGTCATTTTAAGGGAAAACCCGGATTTTCCGTTAGATAAATATCCGTTTTTTTCGTTACGTCACTATCTGCTTTCTCCGTAATTTTTAAGAACGCATAGTAAACCTAAGGACTTTTCTAAAAACCAGCCATAAACCGAAAATATTTCTAGGATTAGAAAATCCTCCAGGACAAACATATTAACTGAAAAACATGTGTTGAAACAATGAAGTTAAAAGTTAAAGGATTATGGTGGGTCCTTAGATTTATTGAGGGTCGGAATGCAGAGAGCAACGCGAGATGGAGTGCAGATGTCTTACGCGATATAACATATAGAACGTACAGGTCGTTCTCGTCGAACGCGAACTTGGAGATTACAAAGCGATCGTGAGTACAGACAGATGGATCGTAATCTGACGACAAACTTCTGTATTCGGCGCACAAGTCTAGCTCATCTACCAAGCAACGGTAACCTAAACTATCCTTCTCGAAGCCCGGAAGTATCGGCAAACTTGTTATTGTTAGGCTCTCGGAACTCATCATGATCTCGAGCCGACATAATTTTCACGACACGTCGAGTAGATACCCGCACTTTTGACCGCTTGTACCGCTCTTATCACGCATCTACGGTCGGTTAAAACGATGTCGTTACGAACCGAACGGGCTGTTAATCGCCCGCACGTTTTTTTCTATCCGATTCCGAAGGGGTTAAAAGAAACTACGCGATTGCATCGCTCTTTAAGTTCCACGAACCGCGAACATAGAACAAAATAGTATTGCAATGACTGTAGCAAGGTCGAACAAGGAGAACGTGAACAGGGGCGGCTTCTTTAACGGTTTCCACTTTCTCATGCAAACTTTAGTGAAATTGTCGTGCACTCGAGGCTCTTCCCTTTGAGAAGGGCGATCCTATTCAGGGACCACTCGAAAAACATTCGAGTGCCCATTGTACGAGTATGTCCGTCTGTTCAGGATACTTTACCTCGTTGATGCACACTCCCTACATTGCAATGCAACCTGGTAAATATCCGGGTAAAATTACTCACTCCAAGTATCGTGTTAATAGAGGATGTAAGATTTTAATCAGATTTCAGATGAATTTTATTCCATGTACTTTTGATGCCAAATGAAAATTCGTATTTGCTAAATTCGCGCATGTCGTTCTTTATGATAGTTGATTTTGTCCGATTAGAGAGTCGATATTAAAAATTAATCCCAACTTGATATTTCTAATCTTCCTTTTTACAACCAAATTGCTCGAGACTCGCCGAATTTAAAGCGACAACACACAATGAACCAGATATTTTAACCATGATGTGTTATAGAATAAATTTATAAAATCTACTATTCCGTGAATAATGCTAGCCTACTTTATTGTTAGATAAATAATCCTATCGATGGCTTATTTTATTTCACTTAAAACACTCCTGAAACAATGCATTCTAAACTTCATGGTTGCAACACATGTTTCTTTACAACCTTTATGTTTGTTCGACCAGTCGCGGGGAGACGTAGTCGCTAAGAGAGACGTCAATGGGGGTCGTAAATCCCCGTTACGATTATAACAATCGACACCACGAATTGATCGATCCCCTGATTTCCGTTGAGATAATAGGGGTGATTGAGTTTGTATAACACTGCGAATCACAGAATTATAAATTATATATTTTCAACACTTAGATTACACTGATGAGCATAGATAGATAGATAATCACTTATCGCACGAAGATAAGATAGATATGTACGTTAGAGTAGGGCTCTTATAATTAGATTTAGTGTATTAGTGGACGTAGCATTATAAGATCTTTAGGAGAGGAAATGTATGCTCGACAATACCGAGACCGACTCTCGCGTTATGCTTAGACTGCCC